CTCTGCGGGTGGTCGCCAGCGTCGTCCTCACGACGACGGGTGCGTGTACGAACGAGGAGGGGTGGCGGGAGAGCGGGGGGGGGAGGTGGAGCGGGGAGGAAAGTGCTGCGGGGGAGGGGGCCTGTGGCGAGTCCAGTCATCCACCCCGTCCTCCCCCTCACCATCCCTGCCTCCCCCCTCCGGCTTGTGAGAGCAACGGATGGTATGACTTAGTCATTGCCTCGCTCACCCACCATCTCTTCCCCTCCTATTTCGAAGGTCTCACGGCTGGTGCCGCCGACCCTGAAAGGGGACGACAACGACGACGATGACGACGCCGCCGCCGCCGACGACGACGACGACGACGACGACGAGGACGAGGACGAGGATGAGGACGAGGACGAGTGCCGAGCCGAGTCTGGCGAAGAGGACGGAGCGAGGAGGGCAGCGGGCAAGGGGGGCGACCGCTGGGCCTGTGCTGCAGCGGGGGGGCCTGCTGCCGAGGTACCAGCAGGGCGACAAGGGCCTCCAGATCGACAAGGGCGTCGAGGCTCTGCGGACTTCGGAGGCGACGACGGGGGCGATCAGCCAAGGTCAGGGGCGGCCCAACCGTCCCCAAGCAGACTATCTCCTTCCGTGACGTGCCCCTCGCCTCGTCCCAGGGCGTATGCGTGCAGCCGGGGGGGAAGCTTGGAAGGCGAGGGTGGCGTCACGGAAGGGGATGGTTTGCCAGGGGTCGGTCAGGCCGCGCTCGACCAGGGGGGAGCAGCACGTGTGCGCAGGGGCGCCGAGGATCCAGGCCTTTGCCGAGGCTCCCCGGCGGACACGTGTCATACCCGCCCCCGGGCTGTTCGCCCCCGTCGTCGCCTCCGGGGGCGACCCGCGTGCACCGTGCCGCGTCGGCCCCTTCCCGAGACTTCGCCGATGCCCGGCCCAGGGAGAGGGCGGGGTGCAGCTCCTCGTCGGCCCTCGGGGCCGGAGAGCCGAGCACCGTATACCGCGCGGGAGCGAGGCCCTGGCGCGGAGTCCGAAGGACACGGCACGGTGCCATGGGCGCTGCTCCGCATCTCCCTCCTCCTCCTCCTCCTCCCCCTCCTCCTCCTCCTCCTTCTCCTCTTCCTCCTCCTCCTCCTCCTCGTCCTCCTCCTCCTCCTCGTCGTCCTCCTCCTCCTCCTCCTCCTCCCCCCCTCCGTCCTAGAGGCGCTCTTCAAGCAGCGGGGGTTCAAGTGGTTCCAGCTCCAGAACGCGCCCGGCAGGCGCGGCCAGGCCCAGGGGCAGGAGCAAGAGGATCAGGAGGAGGAGGGCGACGACGTCGAGCCGTCCCTCCGTCTCCGAGCAGCTGGCCCTGCACCTCCCAGATCAGCATCAGTTGCCAGTCGCCCGCTTCGAAAGATTTGGAGCCTCGCGGAGGGCAGCCGCCATCCACGGACGATGGGGATGCAGGAATGCAGGAGTCCTGCAGGCGCTGCTGTCTCCACAAGAAAAGCGCGCGCCGCTGTCTGCGAAAGAAGTGCTCGGGGACACACCCGAGAAGGCCGTCCTGGCCTGCGGGCTGCCCGTCTGTCGGGCATTCTCGGATCATGACACACAGTAGTAGACCTCAATTAACGAAGAGCTACGTTTAAGTCGGGCTTATCCCTTCACAGGAAGGATATTCAAAAATAGTCAAAGAAATAGTCCGATGACGATGTTTTAAATATTCTTGAGCATGTTTGAATATGTTCGGCTATTTCTTATGTTTCTACCAAAATCCGCTTGTGTGGGGACATGCCCGAACTAAAACTACGCCTACACAAATTACGCAAGGCGAGTTGGCGGGCCAACATCCGACCTGCTTTAAACGCATTCCTTCTTCACGTTTATGCCTGCTCCTTCCGACCGACGTGTATCATGTCCCCTGAAGCTGCACTGCATCAACTTGTCAAAGGTTTCCACCTCCCCCCCGCCCTCCGTTAGCACTCACCGAGGACCCCTCGTCTCATAAGGCTCGACCCGTGTCCATGGGCTCTCTTGTTCACCCGCAGGACCTCCAGTCTCATTGTGGCTTGGCTGGGCTGATACCCAATCTTTTCCAGCTGTTAGTCTGAAACATCCTGCCCATGCTCCTCTCCAATTCGTGCTGCTGCTGCTGCTGCTACTGCTCTTCCTGACCTTATTCCTTCATCTGCTCTCCTCGTCACCTCTTTTGCTCCGGTTCCTGCCTACTCCTCTATATTCTTCTGCTCCCTCCTCTATACTCCTCTGCGCCCTCCCTCACACTTCGCCTCTGCCTCTCTCATCCTCTCCCTCCTCCTCCTCCTCCTCCTCCTCCTCCTCCTCCTCCTCCTCCTCTTTGCGTTGAGCGGACTTCAGCAACGGAGGAGCTGTAGCGTCAACCTCCTCTTCCTCCTCCGCCTCCCAGGTCATGGAGTGCAAGAGGGGGAAGACGCCTGACTTCCCTCCGCAGCCTCCGGATCTGCCCGGCGTCGTCCTATGCTCGGGCCAGGCGTGGGTGCGGGGCGCTTCAGGCTCCGCTGGGTTGGCTTGAAGTTCAGTCCTGGGGAGCGGCGTTGGAGGGGCGGGGGAACGGAGGAGGAAGGGAGAAGCAGAGACGAAGGAGGATTGATGAAGGGGGGGGGGACTGCAGAGAGAGAGAGGAAGGAGGGTTGAGGAGGGAGGATTGAGGAGGGAGGATTAAGGGGGGGGCAGGGCAGAGGTGGACCGGAGGAGGTGGGGGAGCACGAGGGGGATGATGTTGTTGTTGCTGTTGTTGTGGTTGTTGTGGTTGTTGGTAGTGGTGTTGTTATGTAGCTGTCGTTACTGTTGTTGTTGTTGTTGTTGTTGTTGTTGTTGTTGTTGTTGCTGCTGCTGCTGCTGCTGTTGTTGTTGTTGAACATTATTAATTCTAAAGAATAATTATTGTTGGGACCCCTGGTGCACGGCCCCCCTGCGCCGCCTAGGCCGCAGCTACATTTTCATCATTTTCGTGAGGAAGCCTCAGGTAATTCGATGTGATCAAGATCCGGTTGTTTTGTTCCCCCCCGCTTTCCCTTGCAAAAAACACTATAAAATGACATTTCTTGTTCTAATATAATCAAATTTCAAGAATCCTTGCAAAAAATAAGGTAAAGTGGACATTCGCGCGCGCAAGACGAAATCCTTCCAAAAGCTTAGTGTTCGGAGCGATTTTAACATAAAAACATCAAAAAACCAATGGTTTTTCAACAAAAAAATGTCAAAATCTCATCCCGCGCGCTCTTGCGGATTCGTAGGAAAACCAACACTTTTTAAACATTTCTGTCAAACGGGCTTTTGCGAGCAACTTTTTCGAACTTCTGCGACAACGGTTGCGCACCTGCCAGGGCCATCATCCCTGTCAAATAATACCATGCGGGACACATTCGTTTTTTCTTCGCGCGCGCACGCCGAAATCTCCAAAAACCATTGGGTTCTTAAGAATTTTAGCACCGCGCATCATAAAATCACACGAATCGCACCGGGGTGTACGAACGTAGGCTTAACAACTTCTGTGGGTGTGTACTCCACGCCAGTGTAGTAGCCACGGTCGTCCGCAGGCCACGAAGTGAAGTGTCCGAACGTCATAGGGCGGGAAGCTGGGTGTGGGTGGTGGCGAAGAGTCGTGTGGATATTTGGTAGAGCTTGCATTGCCCCCCCACAAAGTGGGGGTATTGGCTGGCGTCGCATGAAAACCCTGGCACTGGTGAGAACACTGAGCGTTCGGGTAAAGTGATTGTTGTTGTTGTTGTTGTTGTTGTTGTTGTTATTGCTGTTGTTGTTGGAAAAGGCGTGCGTGGGAGCCCCGGCCGCCCCTCCCCCCCCCCAGCAACCGAGCAACCGAGCAACCCTCTCTGGGGGTCTCCTGGGGGCGCCAAGGATTCCCTGATAGGATTTCCTAGGAATTCTATAGGCTTCCATAGGAATTCTATAGACCTCCCTAGGAATTCTATAGGCCCCCATCGGAATTCGATTGGCCTCCATAGGAATTCTACAGGCCCTCATGGGAATTCTATAGGCCTCCATCGGAATTCGATGGGCCTCCATAAGAGTTCTATAGGTCTCCATAGGAATTCTTTATAAGCTCCCATAGGAATTGTATCGGCCTCCAAAGGAATTCTATAGGCCTCCATAGGAATTCTATAGGCCTCCGTAGGAATTCTATAGGCACCCCCTATTGGAATTCTAAAGGCCTCCATAGGAATTCAATAGGTCTCCATCGGAATTCTATAGGCCTCCATAGGAATTCTGTAGGCATCCATAGGAATTCTATCTAGGTCCCCATAGGAATTCTATTGGCATCCATACGAATTCCATGAGCCTCCATCGGACTTCTATAGGCCTCCATAGGAATTCTATAGGCACCCATACACATTCTGTAGGCGTCCATAGGAATTCTATAGGCCCCCCATAAGAATTCTATAGGCCGCCATGGGAATTCTATCTGGGCCTCCATCGGAATTCTATAGGCCCTCCAAACGAATTCTATATAGGCCTCCATCGGAATTCTATAGGCTTCCATCGGAACCCTATAGGCACCCATAGGAATTTTATACGCCTCCTTACGAGTTCTATAGGCCCCCATCGGAATTCTATACGCCTCCATAGGAATTCTATAGGCTTCTATCGGAATTCCATAGCCCTCCATACGACTTCTATATAGGCCTCCATCGGAATTCTATACGCCTCCATCGGAATTATATAGGCCTCTATCCGAATTCTATAGGCCCCCATTGGAATTCTATAAGCCCCCATTGGAATTCCGAAATTGGCGCAGCCGCTGGGGCCTTCGGCGGAGCTCCCCGTGGGGGGCCACGATCCTCGTGAGGGGTGTGCCGAAATTGACGCAGCCGCTGGGGCCTTCGGCGGAGCTCCCCGATTGGGGGCCACGATCCACGTGAGGGGTGTGCCGAAATGGGCGCAGCCGCTGGGGCCTTCGGCGGAGCTCTCCGAGGGGGGGCCACGATCCACGTGAGGGGTGTGCCGAAATGGGTGCAGCCGCTGGGGCCTTCGGCGCAGCTCCCCGATGGCGGCCACGATCCACGTGAGGGGTGTGTCGAAATGGGCGCAGCCGCTTGAGTTTTCGGCGGAGGGGTGTGCCGAAATGGCCGCAGCCGCTGGGGTCTTCGGCGGAGCTCCCTGATGGGGGGCACGATCCGCGTGAGTGTTGCGCCGAAGTGGGCGCAGCCGCTGGGGCCTTCGGCGGAGCTCCCCGATGGGGGTCCAAGGTCCGCGTGAAGGGTGTGCCGAAATGGGCGCAGCCGCTGGGGCCTTCGGCGGAGCTCCCCGATGGCGAGCCACGATCCACGTGAGGGGTGTGTCGAAATGGGCGCAGCCGCTTGAGTTTTCGGCGGAGGTCCCCGATGGGGGGCCACGATCCTCGTGAGGGGTGTGTCGAAATGGGCGCAGCCGCTTGAGTTTTCGGCGGAGGTACCCGATTGGGGGCCACGATCTTCGTGAAGGGTGTGCCGAAATGGGCGCAGCCGCTGTGGCATTCGGCGGGGCTCCCCGGCGGCAGGCCACGATCCTTGTGAGGGGTGTGCCGACATGGGCGCAGCCGCTTGAGTTTTCGGCGGAGGTACCCGATTGGAGGCCACGATCCTCGTGAAGGGTGTGCCGAAATGGGCGCAGCCGCTGTGGCCTTCGGCGGGGCTCCCCGACGGCAGGCCACGATCCTTGTGAGGGGTGTGCCGACATGGGCGCAGCCGCTGGGGTCTTCGGCGGGGCTCCCTGATGGGGGGCACGATCCGCGTGAGTGTTGCGCCGAAGTGGGCGCAGCTGTGGGGCCTCCGGCGGAGCTCCCCGAGTGGGGTCCACGATCCTTGTGAGGGGTCTGCCGAAATGGGCGCAGCCGCTGGGGCCTTTGGCGGAGCTCCCCGATGGCGGGCCACGATCCACGTGAGGGGTGTGCCGAAATGGCCGCGGCCGCTGGGGCCTTCGGCGGAGCTCCCCGATGGGGGGCCAAGGTCCGCGTGAAGGGTGTGCCGAAATTGGCGCAGCCGCTGTGGCCCTCGGCGGAGGTACCCGATGGCGGGCCACGATCCACGTGAGGGGTGTGCCGAAATGGCCGCAGCCGCAGTCTGTATCGGATCTCGACAGGATCCCATACAGTCTAGATGGGATCTGTATAGGATCCCATACAGTCTGTATTGGATCTGTATAGGATCCTATGCAGTCTGTATCGGATCTCTACAGGGTCCCATACAGCCTTTATCGGATCTTTATAGGATCCTATACAGTCTGTATCGGATCTCTACAGGATCCATACAGTCTGTATCGGATCTGTACAGGATCGCATACAGTCTGGATCGGATCCCTAAAGGATCCCATACATTCTATTCTGTATCGGATCTCTACAGGATCCCATACAGTCTGTATCGGATCTCTACAGGATCCTATATAGTCTGTACGGGATCTCTACAGGGTCCCATACAGTTTGTATCGGATCTCTATAGGATCCCGTACAGTCTGTATCGGATCTCTACAGGATCCCATACAGTCTGCATCGGATCTGTATAGGATCCCATACAGTCTGTATCGGATCTCTACAAGATCCCATACAGTCTTTATCGGATCTCTATAGGATCCCATACAGTCTAGATCGGATCTGTACAGGATCCTATACAGTCTGTATCGGATCTGTATAGGATCCCATACAGTCTGTATCGGATCTCTACAGGGTCCCATACAGTCTGTATCGGATCCCTACAGGATCCCGTACAGTCTGTATCGGATCTCTACAGGATCCCATACAGTCTGTATCGGATCTGTATAGGATCCTATACAGTCTGTATCGGATCTGTATAGGATCCTATAGAGTCTGTATCGGATCTCTACAGGATCCCATACAGTGTGTATCGGATCTGTATTGAAGCGGCGGCACGCCGGCACGCATACGTTTTTCACCCATAGGACCACGTCAAGCTCCGTAGGAGAGTCCAAGGGAGTTCCAGGTTTTGTTTGTTTTTTTTTAGTTGCTGGTTGCTGTTGCTGTTGCTGGGGGGGGGGGAGGGGGGCAGAATGCGTCCACGGGACTCTGAGCGCAGCCTTCGCAATAAGGCGAGGGCGGGTCCGGACGGCTAGAGCGCACGGGGCTCTCACGCACGCCTTTCCCTTGTTGTTGTCGTTGTCGTTGTTGTTGTTGGTGCTGCTGGTGCTGCTGTTGTTATTGTTGCTGCTGCTGCTGTTGTTGCTGCTGCTGCTGTTGTTGTTGTTGTTGTTGTTGGTGGTGGTGGTGGTGTTGTTGTCGTTGTTGTTGTTGCTGCTATTGTTGCTGTTGTTTCTGTTGTTGTGCCTGTTGATGTTGATGTCGTGCTTGTTTGTTGTTGGCGTTGCTGTTGTTGTTGCTGTTGTTGATGATGATGATCGTGATGGTGGTGATGTCGGTGATGGTGGTGATTGGGATGGTGATGACGATTCTGACGACGCTGATGATGAGGCTGGTGATGATGTTGATGAGGATGGGAATGAGGATGAGGACGAGGATGAGGACAATGATGATGAGGATGCTTATGATGAACATGATAG